GAGCTGACACCACAGCACTCTAGCCCGGGCAACAGAGTGAGACTCTTGTCTCAAAGAAAAAAAAAAAAAAAACACTTAGTCCCATCTGGGGTTTACAAAGGTCAACCCCAAATTCTATATTTTTTGCCCAGGGCAAACCTTTAACATGGTGGTCCAAATTAATTCCAATACCATAGCATTTTGTTTTTAGACCACACGGATTTCATCTAAATAGAACACTTGTGAACCAGAATATACTGACCTACTTTAGACTAGATTTATCTTCCTTAAAAGAGATGAAAGTGAACTATTCTAGGAAAATTTAAACAGACTTTTGATGTAAAGAATTGTTTGCAATATACAGTTCTAGCCCAAGGCATTTTGTGCACACGTAAGATCGGGAAGTAACTATAAACTTGTTTTCATTCCATTTAGCTAAGACGACTCCTCATGTGACAGGACTCTTCCTATAACTGCCAAAAGGTCTCCAAACTTAATTTCGGTTATATTATTTTCACAATATACAATAATGAAGCTAATGTGAAGACAGGCTCACCAAGTGAGTAGAATTTATAGAGATCATAAGTAGAATAGCTGTAAGAACGATAGCTATGTGCTCGGATGAATCTGTGCTGATGAAATGTACAGATTTTCTAAGCATAACCTTCCTGGTTATCTATAAAGTCCTCTGAAGCACCATCTTTGAGGCCTGGTGTTTTTACATGTTCAATTCAAAGAGTTTGGAAAAATAAAACTGGGCTTTTACATTTTATTTTTACAGCTTTATAAATACTGAGAAAATTAGATAAAATAAAAACTCTAAATACAAAACCACTAAAGAACATCACCTTTAGAGGCCATACTTACGACAGCCCATTCAAGTTTAGATGCTTGTATTTTACATTCCAGTGACAGAAATAATTTAAGCAATTTAAGAGTAAAATATTTTCTAAACATGGATATCAACTTAGAACAGAGAGTATTTAAAAGTGAACTTAACCTATCAGTAAGAGGAGCTTTTCTAATGGAAAAGAATGTGGCTACCAAATAGCTATTAGTCGTACAGACTCAGAAGGGTTTAAAAAAAATGGATCATTTTTGTTATTCGTTTTCATGTTTAAAAAAATCACCATATGAAGTTATTCCAAGAAAGAGTAGCAGATTAAAACAATTTAAAAATATAACCTGTGTCTAACGGTGTAAAGTGTCTATTTGGTTTACTTCGTTAAGGGGTGGGGAACCTGGGGCCTCGAGGCCACATGTGGCTCTCCAGATCCCCAAGTGCGGCCCCTCAACCAAATCCAAACTTCACAGAACAAATCCTCTTATTAAATGGATTCGAGGCTTAGTGTTTTTAAATGTTCAATTCAAAGAGTTTGGAAAAAGATTTGTTATTAAAAGGATTTGTTCCGTAAAATTTGGATTCGGTCAAAAGGCTACACTCAAGGACTCAGCACACCCTACAGATTGCCTCAAACAGAGATTCGAAAACAGCTTCTTGCTACTGCTCTTGCTACTTGCTATTTATACTTTGCTAAAGTTCACCATATCTGTATTCTTCTGGAGATTTATGGTAATACTGTAACTTAACTAACCATTTAGTGAACATATGACATAGCTTTTCTTTTGCAGTATGATCATCCCAACGTTGTTTTTACCCTGTTTCTTTTTAGTAGTTTTTAATACCATTAATAAAGCCTAACATTTTCCATTTGTAAAACAGCCTACCCATTCAGAAATTCCTCTCTCTCCTATAACTATATATAGTTGTATCTGTTGGAATCAACATTCCACTTTGTGAATTAGATTTTTTTAAAGCCTTTGTTGTAATAAAGTATGAGCAGTAAAATGCTATTTTCTACTAAAGGCCTTAGTAGTCAAATGCCACAATAGTGATTGCTTACCAAACTAGGTTTATGTATGTATATGTAAATCTATATGTACAAATACATATACGTAGATACATGCATAGTCTTCTTTACCACGCAGGTGCCTCATATTTACATTTAAACTAAAGACTGTTAACTCATGATTAGCCCTATGGATTTCAATGACCCTCCTCACTACTGGCAAGATGAATGATAAATTGGTATTTCTGTTTCTCTGGCTGGGTTAGATTAAGGAACACTGAGAACCAAAGGGATTTCAGTTATGCCCTGGTCAATAACTTGTTTCCGAAATAATCTCATTAGAAAAGATCTGTGCTCCCAACTGGAATTAGACACTGGGTGTTCCATATTTTAATTCCTGTTATAATCCCCTTCTAAAAACTCAAACCATCCAGGCGCTTGTTTGTATGTGTGTGTCGGGGGGGAACTCTAACCAAATTGTACATTAACAAATATAGTAGTAATAGTTCTGCTAGATTTATACCCCACAGAATCCCACTGAATTTACATTCACATTAACTCACTTCTTCAGATGCATGCATTCACATCAAGTCTCCAATTGTTAAATTTAAAAAAACCTGCTCATAAAACACCTGGGATCATTTTTGTTAAATCAGAAAATTAGCTACTTAAGAAAGCACAACAAATTTTCTTATTTTAAATATGAAAAAACAAGGAGAAGTATAGGGCCAGTGGAAATAATACAAGAGACTTATGCGATATTCTTTTTTTTCTTTTAGAGATGACATCTCACTATGTTGCCCAGGTTGGAGTGCAGTGGCTATTCACAGGCGCACTGTAGCCTTGAATTCCTTGCCTCAAGCAATCCTTCCGCCTCAGCCTCCCAAGTAGCTGGCATTACAGGCAGATGCCACTGTGCCCATCTCTTACATAATATTCTAATGCAAATGAAGTGGAAGTACATCTAACAACCATAGAACACTGGTTCACAAGGCATTAAGTCTTGCAAAAAGAGCTATGCAAAGAACATGGTATGGAAAATAATTTTTTAGTATAGGAAAAGCACTCTGATTAACCAACTAACAAAACTGTGGTCACCTTCCTCAAACAGTTACCAAATCCCTGGAGAAGAAAGGCAGAACTTAACAGAGAACAGAAAACTACAGCTAAATTGCCTCACACATTACGCTGAAGACCCAATAATCCCAATTCACCTTACTTTCATGGGTGTGAAAAAATACTTCCTTTAAAATCATTCCATAAAGCAGGGTATATTTCTACCTTAACATATACTTTCAAGTGTGTGAAAGTAAAATTTTCAAAAAAAGTAAGTACTGAAATATATATTTTAAAATGCACTTAAACATGTGCTTAAACAGCCTTCAAATAAATTCTACCTACAGGGGTTCATAGGACTACTTTGGTTCGTACATTCGCAGAGCATGAAATATACCTGTATATACTTGCTATATATCATGTATAGCTGGCCTTAAACTGTAACAGTGAAGTATCTCCCAGCTCTATTATGGAACCAACCCATTTTGGACTGAGACCCATTCTTTCAAAACTCTACAGGATAAGGAAGCTGCATAAGGGCCATAAGCAATAATTGTCTAGACTTCTAAGAGAGCCAAGAAAAGAGCCTATTTTCAGCAGAACTGTGAGACAGGCTATGTCTAACAAACTGAAATTTAAGAATAAAAAATGCATTTAAATACAAACAGCACTTACCAAGTATGGGTTTAGAAAACATGGCTTAAAAGGAGAATGAAAAAGATGGGCAGTTTTGTAAAAATTTAAGTTCAAATTGAGTTTACAAGAATGGTACAACCAAAAACACTAAGTGTGATCAAAGACAGCAGTAAGGGAAGCATATTTTAATTAAGACAGTTGGTATTCACACGATGGTTTGAATTTGTCAGACTACAAATATAGCATTTAATTTAGAGGGACCTAGAACAGTGAAGGGATTTGGATAAGGGAACATGGGATTAATTTGACATTCGACAAATAGTTCCTGAGCAATATTCCCAGGAAATAACTGTATAAAAGACTGACAAGGTCTCGGGCTTTCATGAACTATACATTATAATGGGGCATCCTTCCCTTCTTCCTGTCCCCTCCCCCAAAAAAAGAGGAGACTTGGGAGGGTAAGAGAAAGATTTTTAAAAATCTGAAAGTGGGTAGGACAATAGAAAGAACATGAAACCGTCACCTCAGCCTCAGTTTCCTCACCTGTAAAATACATATGAAAATGATCACCAACCTTATTTTGTACATGACTGTAAGAATCAAATGAGATAATATAAAAAACATTCTTTAAATTGTAAGTGCTATGTAGAAGGAAGATCAAATTTCTTCTGCACGACTCCAAAGGATATAACCATAGGTAGCAGCATAGTAGACAAATTTCAATTCCATAAAATTCAAGGGTTATCAAAGATAGAATGGGTTATTTCCTAATATCAGAGTTGTTCACACATGGGCCTATTGGCCTCTTGGCAAAAATCTGGAAAAACATAATAAGTTGACATGCCATGTCTGTAATAATCACAGAGTCTAATGTTTGCTCTTGCCTTCTCTGGGCACTAAGCAAATCAATGACTATGCATAGCATTAAATATGTGCCAAATTAATTTTTATATATGCATGCTGCAATTGATTATTTATTATCATTAATTATTACAGCTAGGTCAATTTCTCCCAAGTTCCAGTTTTCCCACAATGGGTTTGGTATGAGAATTGAATAAGATAATATAATTGCCTAGCACAAAGTAGCTTCGAAAATGTCATTTCCCTTTTGCTTTGACACTTCTAAATTCTGTTCATGTACGCCCAACTTTCATTATTTGTTACTCACACACCAAGGATGTCTGATTAAATAAAAAGGAAATACTATTCACCACAATATTATTTTTAACAGCAAATAACCACTAGCACATTCAAAAGAATTCTGCTGGGAAAAATTAAGTCCTACAACTTTACATGGAAATCATATATTTAAAAAAAATAATTGAAAAATACAGTATTAGCAACATAGTATTCATTCATGTTCCATTCAACAAATAGTTCAAACCATCTATCATGTGCTAGTTATTTATAATTAAGTGGGTTTTTTTAATTGAATGTTTTTAACCGACACATTCTATAGAATGCAAAAGAAAATCTAACCTGGATTCTGGCTATAAAAAGGTCCTCCATTCATCTGATTCTGAAGGCTTGTTTGTGAAGTTATGGAAGGAGGGCGTCTATAGGGCAACGAGCCCCCTATTGTTGGGGGAGTATGGCGAGTGGCAGGCCTATTCATGCTGTAGAATTGAACAGGATGACCTGGAAAGTGGACAGAACATAAATCTATCATAAAAGAAAATTACCTCGGACAATGAAACACTTTACCGATAATGCCTAAATCTTAATAATTATTAAAATTTAATTGCTATCTGAAAAACACAATGCAAGGCAATATTTATTGCTAGCTGATATTATTATAAATCAAAGTGCAAAAGCAGGAAAGTAAACAAAAATAGGATTAAGTTTGGAAAAGCTACATCTAAATAGATTACTAAATAACATTATGATTTTATTAAATTATAATTTAATGGGTTTTCAAAATCATCACAATTAATTCAAATTTTTATCTCCCCAAAAAACAGCCTCTAAACACTGAAAACTAAACAAGATAAGAATGACATTTGGGAAAGCAAAAGAAAAAATGTCTGATGCACAGTCTTATTCCAAAATAATAAATAATGGTAAGGATAATAATAAATTTAAGGTAGTAAAGAAATTTATTTAAAGGAAGACGTATTTCAGCAAAAGGTGAAATGACATACTTCCAAATTAAACACATCTTTATTCAATCAAAAATATCCATCTCTAAAGCTAGATTATCTTTTGTTTTACAATTAAAGAAATTCACAATTATGAAAAAAACTAAAATTCAAAATCAACCAAAATATATCTTATTTTTAATATCACTCCTGAACGTGTACATATTTATCATCAATGTCACTACATTTTGCTCTCTTGAGAGGTCTTCAACAGCTAATGCCAATTGGAGACACACTTCCCGAATCCATCAATTTGCCAATACTACAATCCAGTTCCTAAATTTTACCCTGACTTACATTCAGCTGAGGGCCTAAACAGAGCACTAGAGCACTCCAGCGGCAGGAAAGCAGCAGAGGTCAAGGGAGAGAGAAGTGAGAGTAAAAGAGGAGAACGGAAGGGGAGTATGAGGGGAAGAAAAGACAAAGAAAGGGGGCAGGGGAAGGGAGGGGAGGAGAGAGAGGGGAGGGAAAAAGAAGAAAAGGAAGGAGGAAGGGAAAGAGAGGAAGAAGTGAGGGGAGAAGTGAAAAAGAAAAAAATAAAACACTTTTGCCAAGCCCAACAGGAAGCCAGAGGGCAAGAGTCCATTAAAGTACTTCATGTGAAGGGGAGAGAACTGAGGATAGGGGAGAAATAGAAGACACAGGGCACAGTCTTCAATCCATCTGTGCCTAAAGTTATCCTGAGAATTTTTTAGTTCTAAAGTGAACTACATGAAACTCAGTGAGACAAGGCTTAATAAAAATAACGTAGAATTTAATGAAAGCTTGTTTGCTTTGTTCAAATCTTCATGTTCACAAACACTGCAGTTATATCCTCTTCCAGCCTTTACATTTCTCAGCTGAGTCTGTCTTTATTCTAATATGCAATTCTATCTTCTTGGTAATTTTAGTTAAATATTGTAGAAGTAAAAAAACACTTCTGACAATTTTTCATCTTATTTATGATTACAAAATGGTTTTATGTGATTAAAATTGTGCCACACAAATTCCATAAATGTATCCAACTTGGATTTATATGATGTCATATAAAGAATATTATAATAGCCCTTAAGATTTGCTATACAGCATTTAGTGTTTTTACATACGTATCAAACTCTGAAACTCAATTTTATTGTATAAACTCTTAAGCATGTAAGCTTAAACATAATCCACTTTCAATTGAGAACTCTGTAACTGTGATAAAAATGTAAACATATAAACAAGTAAACTATAATTTTAAGGGCGTACTGAGGCCTTTGAACCACTAAATATGAAGACATTATTGGCATTTTAGTAATTAATCTATAACAAACTAATACAAATCTAGTATCAAGTTAAAAACTTCTGATGATTAATACCATTAGAAATTTTACATATTAACAGATCCAGTCTAAAACCTCACATGTTGTAAGTCTGCAGTGATTCAAAGACACTACATAAAAGAGTCACTATTCATACTATTAATGAGAGATTTGCCTTGTTTGGGGTTAAAAAAAAAAAAAAAAAAGACAGCTAATTATTACAGATCTAACTATAAAACCTAAAACTAAAAACTTCTAGAACACAGAACAAAATCTTTATGACCTTGGGTAATAAGTTCTCCGATATGACACCAAAAGCGCAGTCCATAAAAGAAAAAAAAAATTGATAAATTGGACTTAATCAAAATGAAAAATTTCCACTATTTGAAAGACATTAAAAAAATAAAAAGACAAGTCACAAAATGGATGAAAAGATTTGCAATTCACATAACTGACAAAGGACTCATATTCAGAAAATTAAAGAACTCAGTAAGGAAAGAAACAACCCTATTTAAAAGGTGAGAAGAAGCAAAACATTTGAACAGACACTTCATCAAAGAAGATATACAGACGGCAAATATGCAAGAAAAACATGTTCAACATCATTAATCATTAGGAAAATGAAAATCAAACCATGAGAAACCGTTATACATGTATTAGAATGGCTAAAGTCTTAAAAAAAAAAAAAATGACAGTACCAAGTACTGACAAGGATTCAACTAGAAACTCATATATCACTGGTGGAAGTGCAAAATTGTACAGCCACTTTGGAAACAATTTGGCGGTTTCTTATAAAGTTAAATATTCATTTACAAAACCACCTGGCAATTCTACTCCCTAGGCATTTACCCAGATGAAATAAAAACTATGGCCAGGCAGGGTAGTTCACGCCTGTAATCCCAGCACTCTGGGAGGCTGAGGCGGGATGATTGCTTGAGCTCAGGAGTTTGAGACCAGCTTGAGCAAGACCAAAACCCCTTCTCTACTAAAAATAGAAAAATTAGCCAGGTGTCATGCTGTGTACCTGTACCAGCAGCTACTTGGGAGGCTGAGGCAAAAAGATCACTTGAGCCCAGGATTAGGTTGCAGTGAGCTACAATGACACCACTGCACTCTACCCAGGGCAACAGAGTGAGACTCTGTCTCCAAAAAAAAGAAAAAACTTACCTTCTCAAAAAGCCTGTATGTGAATGTTTATGGCTGATTTATAATCACTCAAAACTAGAAACAATCTACATGTCCTTCATCTAGGAAAGGGATAAACAAATTGTGCTATATTCAAATAACAGAACACTACTCAGCAATAAAAAGGAATGAAATACTTAAACATTTGACAACATGGGTAAATCTCAAATATATCTGGCCAAAAAATTAGATCCAAAAGGCTTGAAACCATATGCCTTCATTTATATGATATTTTTACAAAGGCAAAACTTTAGAGACAAAAGATAGATCAAGTGCTTAAGAGGAGCTGGGAGGGGAGGAGAAGGATTCATTACAAGGGGGCATGGAGGAAATTTGGGGAATGATAGGGCTGTTTTACATTTCAATTGAGGTGGTGGTGGTGGTTACATGACTGTATACATTTGCCAAAACAAAACTCAAACATATACACTAAAAAGGGTGAATTTTACTGTAAATAAATTGTACCTTAATAAAAAGTAAAGAAAGTACTTGGTGACCCAAAGACACTGTATAAAAGATATTATACTGTCATCGATTAATAAGGAATGTACCTTGCTTTTTGCTTTTAAAAAGCTATAATTATCCACTCACATAACATTATTTAGTAAATACTATGAGCCAGACACCTGTTATTAAATTAACATTTAATTATGAAAATGCAGACTCTCAGCCAACTTAAATAAACCTGAAATTCTTTAGAAGTCCATTGTCTATGATTTCCAATGCTGCTATGATAAGCAACAGATTCTGGTAAAATAGACTTAGACTTTCAATTTGTTATATCAAATATTTCCTATAAAATATATCTTAGAATTATTGTCACAGGCTTTTTTGTTAGTGACTTAACCTGTAACAAACAATATTTCTAATGACAATCTCAAAACCATATAGAAGGGAGCTCCATACTCAATTCACAAATCTCTAATGAAATTCAAGAAATAAAACATGTATATTAATATTTATGCTACCCTATTGGAAAAATGTATAAGAAACTTTACCCTGACTTTCTCAGGAAATTCTAACCTTTGGTCACATGCCACTTTATAGTTAGTACATTATTCTTCATTTTGTTTTAATACGAAGTATAATTAAACCAAACAAACAAAAAAAAAAAATCATAAAGCTGGAGATGCAGGTAAGAAAAGCCAGTTGACCAGATCTGCCTGCCAATGAATATGCCAATACTCACCTGTAGGGGGAGTGGAAGAAACAACAGGGGGAGTTGGAGAAGTGAAGCCATCAGCAAGGGTCTGGGCACCCCCAGCAGCAGCGTCTGGGGCAGTGGAGGAAGGGACAGTAGCAGGAACAAGAGGGGCAGGGGCAGATGCAGAAGCAGCAGGAAGGGGAGGAGTGCCAGCAGAGCCAGCAGGGGCTAACGGGAAAAGAGGAGTAAGAGGCAGCATTAATGACGCAGTCACATTAGGGAGGTTAGAAAAGGCATTACAATATTTAATGTTAGATATTTAGTGCTTAAACACTAACCAGAAGAATAGAGAGTTGGAAAAAGGATGAAACTTGTGTTAAAGGATTCTTAGGTATACAGCAAATAATTCAAGATGCCCATGGTAATGTATAGATTTTTTAATTCATTAAAAGCAAACATTCCTTTTTACCTGAAAGCAGCACTCTGGAAAAAAAAAGTGTTTCCTTTATATTGTTATTTTTAGCATAATATTCTGTAAACAAGATGCAAAACCGAATGCAATACACTAAAAAACAACAGTATTCCATTTTGAATTACACAAATCAGAAAATAGAAATACCAGACAATATCCTTAACAGGTAAAAAAAGAATTTAAAAAAAACACAAATCTTTTTCATGATTTTTTAAAAGGTATTATCTATTTTTTATTATAAGTAAATTAAACATGTAATATTCTATTTATGTCTTTTGTGTCACGCTTTTAAAACTAAATTTCAACTGTGCCCTCAGATCAAATAGGCACATTTTTTGTTTCAGAGAAAAGAGGGTAGCATTTGCAGAGACTAATTTCTAAGAGTCCACTAAAATTAACTGTCAAAACTACTTTTATATTTGCCCCATCCTTTGTTAGCAATGTGATTCTCATGCTGAGTCCTTACTGTGTGCAAAGACATGCACTGTCATACCACTACCTGGAATTAAACATATAACTCATACCAAAGTGGTACTTGAAATCTCAAAGCAGCAATTGAGCCACATCACCAAAGGCAAAAAGGAAGTGCAAAGTGAGCAAAAACTTACAAATCACTTGGTTAAAAATAACAAATGTATAAAGACTTTCCAACATTTATGGAGCCCTAAAGAAAAAAATCCTGATTATGAAGAAAGCCCACCGTAATTAAATCACAAATTAAAATCAAATTCAGGAAGGAAAAGGGAAGATGAAGCACCATTAATGTTTTACCTGGAAACACACTGGGAGGAGAAGGAGTAGGAACAGCAATAGGAACCCCCACACTCCCACTTCCACTGTTCTCCCGACTGCTGCTCCGACTACTTGGGTGGCTTCCTCCACTACTCCCACTGCTGCTAAAGAAATAAGAGCCACCAAAATATGAATATCCACATGGAATAAGATATCAGCACTTCCCAAAATTTTCTGAAGCCTTTCACTTCAAATATGAATTTCTTAATAAAGTTGGGGGTAAACTGGGTTCAACAGCTTGTTTTGACCACATTTTAATAGAATATATTAAAGAAACTGAGAAAGAAGAAAAAATTCTCCACAAATATGATTAATAAATGTTGGGGCTCAACACGTTAAAATAAGAAATATTACCTTCTTATGTTCCAGTTTAATGCCTGTCTGAAGAAACTTCTTTTATAATAAAAACATTTTCCTAAACAGATTTAATTTACAATCATATCTTGATATACTATTCCATATTAATGTTTTATTGTATATAGTTTTTCATCTGTAAAGTTCCACCAAAAAACAACTTGAAATTTCCCACATTTGGTCCACAATTTTTTTTTTCAGATCAACTAAACTATTAACCTTGTAGAGAAGTTTGCACTTCTAGATGTCTGTTCTTTTTCAACTTCCTGACTGCTCAAAGTTGCATCAGAACATGAGGAGAGAGAAGTGGAATCAGATGAGGTTTGGGAGAGTAGAGTGAGGAAAAGAACTTAGTGCTTGGAAAATGAGAGAGATTTAACTGAAGTTATCTGAACAGATTCTGGTACTATGACCATCACATTTTTCACTGAGGTAGAAAAAATACCTGTAAGTTCGATTTCTTTGATTCACAGAAGCTGTCCTCACAGGGCTCTGCTGCGAGGGAGCCATATTACGGGTTGGGCTAGGTACGTAATCATTTGGTACCACTGGAGGACGCACTGGCTCCAGTGTGCGATAGGGGGAGTGCCGCCTACAAAAAGAAGAGCGTATGTATTTTATGATTAAGCAAGTTTCGGCACAATAAATTCATAGAGTTGCCAGTAGTGAAATACAATTTGTAATCAGAGATAGGAAATGTGTTTTATCATAACCCAGCTACCAATTTCAAGTCTTTCCTAAAGTTTCACTTCTCTATCATTAGGGTTTTGTTGAGTAATGTTATTTTTTTAGTCTCCAACCTCATTTCCCTGTGCTAATGCAATTTTGTTCATTTATTCTCAGAGAGCACAAAGGTTCTCCACCATTTAAGCCAGTGTCTCCCAGATCCTACTCTTTTCTTAGAGTTTGAATTATTTTAGTATCATGTTCCCAACTGTACTGCATGAATGCACTAATGATCCTCCTCTCCCCTCTCTCCCTAACCAAAGATAGGAACTAGATTTCGGATCTACAATCCCCACGCTGATGATCAATACTAGCCATAATAACTCATTTCCCTTCCTATATACTAAATACATAGAAATTAACATGTAACTGTACACAAAAATACACAATTTAATCTCATCTTCCATTCTCACAACCTCGCTTTTCTCCCTCAACTTCTCTCTCCTTTCTCTTTCCCCCTTCTTGGAGGGAAAGACCACCACAGTCCTTCTAACCTTATTTACTTTGAACTATAAAATACAAATCAGACTGGAATTTATTAATATATATTTCCCTCTTTTTCCCAAAACTTCCTTTTAAAGGAAGAGGATGAGAAGAATAAGAAAGGAAATATGATAGGGAATAAGATGCACACTGGAAAATAAGTGATTATTAAATTAGTTCTCATCTCTAAGTTTCCAAATTCTTTTTAACAATGATAAATACTCAACTGACATGAAACTGACATCTTGTACATAAGATTCTGGCTTTTAAAAGAATAAAAATTGGTCAAGATGTAAAAATTAAGAAGTTTTCTTTTCCTGATATAATTTGCTCAAGTGACTTATGTATTTCTCAATAATTCACTTCCCAAAAGGCTCCCTGAGGTCCTTTAAATATTTCTCCTGGGCCATTCAAGTTGTGGCTGATTTTGAATGAGATCACTTTGTAGTGACCTCATTCACTCTACTACCTTTTAAAGTCTCCTTGTATAAATACACATAAACATTAATAATTTAAAATAAATAAGGGGCATTGGATGGAATAGTGGGTCAAAGGAAGAAAAATGAATGTCAGGACTTTGGATTTAAAATACTAAAAAGTTCAGGCATCTCTGAAATTACAACACAAATATAAAAAATAAAATAGGAAATGTTAATTTTCCAACATCTAAGTTGCAATTTTTCCCAGACAATAAAAATGTTCTGTTTCATCCAAGAAAAAAACCCTTTGATAACTGAGCACTATATGGTGAAGGCAATGACATGAACAAGGGGCAGAGGAACAAAATATGGTGACTAGGCAAAGACTATGTGACAAAACCAGGCTGTGACCATCAACTGGTAGAGCAGTGCTCAGTAAATCTGGTTTCCAAGGATTCTGCATTATCAGTGCTAATACACAAGGAAAACAAATACTGCTTTATGAGTATATGTTCAATTTTTGAGAGCAACAGAAAATTTTATTTTTCTAGAGACTAAGTGGGTTATCTTGCTAACAATCTTGATTTAAACCTAACAAAATCCATTAGGCACTATACATGAAAAAAAAGGTAAACGTTCCACAGGAAAATAAAAACAAACAGTTCCTCTCGATCTCTCTACTCTCATTCTGCACCATTATATCCTACTATGTCACTGACATTCTACTCTGAAGTTTAAATCTTATTTGATCCATTAGATTCTTCTCTAATCTAAGCAGAATTAAAACTGTAGTAGAATTTTGTCTACCACAAATAAAGCCATTCTATTCCTGGTTAGAATTCATTTTTATTCTTTTGTCTCCCATTGTTCTAACTATAATTTCTCTTCCAACATAATCCTCCATTAAATCCCAACTCATCTTTGTCCTGCCCTGATCCACGGTGCTTGATTAGGTTTTGTATTTTGGGGGTGTTTTGTTTTTTTGGTGAGGGGGCCAAAACCAAGATTGTCAATTAATAACTTTTTAGCGTATATCATAAAGCCAATGGTTGTCCAAAGCAATTTGTCTTTGACTTATACATTTTTAAAATCCAATTTGTGGTATAGTGACCCTGAAAAGTTGATAGAGGACAAATATTACCCCCCTTTTACAGATGAAAAAACGTAACTGCCGAAAAGCTGACTATGCACAACCACAGAGTAAATAAAATAGCAGAGCTGGACCAGAATTTTAGCCACCTGGCTTCTGGGCTATATTATGCCCACTTGTTCATAAATCTCGATCACAATAAACCGTTTATACTATGATGCTGTAGAAGAAAAAAGTCATGTTTTTGCACTGATTCACCATTTTTAAGAAAAGTCAAATCCAGAGCCCAATTCTATAGGACCAAACTAAAGCTCAATATTCTCATAACAAATTTTACAGGATTTTATAATCTACACTGCCTTCTTGGGAAGGATAGTCTGAGTTCAACTGCAATACAAAAGTGTGTAAAAATTTTCTGAAAAAAAGGAATTAAAAATTAGACTGCCATTTATAATTGGGCTAAGATTTTTACCTCAAATTTAAAAGTCATTAGAAAAATAATTTCTAAACAAAATCTTTTTAAAGTATAAAGATGTATTTCCCAGGAAAAGGGAAATTTACACACATAAAAAATAATCCTAATGAGAAAATATTCTCCAAATATTCAAAAACACTTTAAATATACGTTGTGCTTCATTTTGAAACGCAACACTACATGAAATGTCTCCAGTTATTATTAACACTTAGTTATATACTCACCCAAGCGTCCCTTTCCCTGACATAGGGGGACTGGGGGGCTTCTGAGTTGGAGGTGTTGTACGCGGCAGCCCACCCATCTTCATATTCTGGGTACTCACCTAAAAAATGTTCAGGAAAACTCAACTCAACTTATATGCAGAGTGAAATAAAGTGGCACTGCTGGGAAACAATGCTATGCTATTTAACAAAGGAGGGGAAGGTTTAAATATAGGAAAAAAAAATTAGAGGCCATGCATTTCATATGCAATTTCTACTCTACTAATTAGTCTATAGTTGTACTCAAAGGACTCTTCCTAACATGAGATTTTCAAATGATTATAAACTTGTATGCAAAGACTTTATTTGCCATTAGGCCATCACACCAACAGATCACTGGTTACACTATTTGATATTACATTCAATTGAAATTACATAGACTGTAAAAATTTTAGTTTTAATAAACAGTAACAATCAGCAACAATAATGCCTTTAAGCAATTCTTTATTTTTTAGATAGCTTCCTTTAGACAGCAAGTATATCACAAACAAAATACATTTCTCAAATAAAAATATGCAACTATGCATATGATCCACTGTAACTAGAGAATATAAACTGTATGCTATATAGAGAAAAAAATTTTTTAATTGTGGACCAGGCTTACAATTCAGATTTTGTTAATGTTTTCTTATGAGGGAATTACCTACCTGAAACTGCTAGAAGTTCAAGTCATGTTCCTAAACATCTGAACCAGAAAGTTAGGGCTGAGGTATCCCATTCAATTGTGAGCAGCACAAGGGCCACAGGCAATGTCCTAGTTCCAATGGGAATTGGACCCATTCAGGCCCAAACTGAAGGTTAATTCAGGCATGAGAAAGATGTGACATAGTCCTAAGTCAGAGCTGAACCATGACTCCACTCACTCTTCTATCCCTAACTGAAAATGCCAGTGTAGGAAAGATGGATAATCTGGGAATAATGGATATAACCAAAGCAGTATGTCAGCACTTATACAGAAAGCTTTAGAAATTTGGATAACTTAAGGAGCTAACAGAAGTCACTCACAAATATAGTTCGAATGCAATCTCACATTGTCTGAGACTACAAATGGATCTGAATTAATGTTTACCATATAGGTTCATATCTGACCCTATTTCAAGCCCCTAATATTCTGAACTGCCATCTTCAAAACATAGGTCAAAAAAGGATCTCGATTTTTCAAAAAAATGTCTAGAGCATTTAAATTATATTTGCAAAATGAAACTGCAAGATATTATATTACTGAATTCAGAATACAGTTGTAATTGTAATTTCAAAATATAAATTTTAAGAAAACAAATCATAATTGTACAC